TAGATTCTTCCCCTAGACTTCCCATTGTTCCTGGAACGTGTCACCATTCATTGTCACTGTTTTTTGGTGCATCTGGTTTCAAGTTCCTTGAAGGCAGGTACTACATCTTTTAAAGCTCATTCCCTTACTTCCTGGTGCCTGGCATATTACCTTCATGCCAGAACAAAGAAATAAAGTATCTAGTGGATGTAGGAACAGGACAAGAAGCAGTCACCTGGTGTCTACCTAAAGAAAGCCTCTTAACCTCCCTCAGCGACTGTCCTCTTTCATTCTGTTCCAGTCTCCACTCTGAGCAGTAAGCATGAGCAGGGGAGGGGAGAACAATGACTCTGATATCCAATTTAGTCTTTACCTCACAAGCAAGAAAATAATTTGACTTCTGACATCAACAAATCAGGAGAGCCTCCTTTTAAAAGGCTCCATCATCTTTCTGCTGGATTTGTCAAAGCAACTTGATTTTCCATAAAGGTATTTCCTCTGCTCCTTGGGCTAATGGTACAGTAGATCTCACTCAGAGGAAATAAGAGGCCATCATTTAGGGGTCACAGGATTCTTTCAGCATCAGAGCAGAACCTGGGGCCTCCCACTGATTCCCCCCAAATTCTAAATGTATCCAGTCTAACTTACCATGGAAGGTGACAAAGAAAGTTAATGAGTTATATACTCACCCTAAGTGAGAAGACAAATAGAAGGTGGCAATGGGAAGATCACTACAAAAGGGTGGTTAAAGAAAATAAAATCGCTTGGCCAGAGATATGTATATCAACTAAAAGAATGAGGGCCTCTAAATTTTTAATCATCCCAACTGCCTCAAGCAGTTACATAAAGAGGCCCACCCAGAATCTGAGGTACTACTTGAATCATCTGTCACCTACTTTTGCAGAGCAGATTCTTTTTGTTTTCTTTGCCATCGCTCTGCTCTATATGCAGTTAGAAAGCCATCCGGCTGATGCTCATGTACCGATCACCTCTTGGTATCTTAATATAAACATGCCATTTATCGGAAACAACTTGCGGCCTTCTGTGGGTAAAACTGAAGTATTTCTAGAATCTCTCGCCTGGCCTTAGTGCATCTCCATGTCAATAGGTGTTTCCAAGGGTGGAAAGAAGTAGTCTGTCTCTGAATCAATAGGTGATGACAAAGGGGGTGGAGAGTGAGCACGCACCTGGACCGGAGAGGTTTGGTGAGCCCCTTCTGCAGCTGGTCACAAGAGACATGGGTGAGCAGAAACAGATGACTGCTTGTAAACAATAAATGGGTCTCCCACTGGAAAGAAGTTGAAACCCCTCTTTCCAACTTCTCTGGCTCCCTCTCAGCGTCTTTCACTGGCCCCTCTTCTTTGACAGGCCCTTTGTATTTTGCTGTTTCCTGGCTTGTATCTTATGTCCTCTTGTTCTACATTCTTTCCAGGAGTAAATATCACCACTCTCATCACGTCATCTTATGTGGCAAATATCTCCAGTCTCCCATCTCTCCTGTGTCCCAGTTTCATACTTTCAGCTCCTTTTCTAGATAATATGATACTCTACCACTAAGGCATCTCAAACGCATCATTTATTATATTATCTCTTCCTATCCCTTCGCAAGACTTATTATTCATCCCTCAATTAATGATATCAACATTTCATCCAATTTCCTTGGTTATAAATTTCATTCATTCTTGATTTTTTCCATATATTATCAATGAACAAATCCAGTTAATTTCTACCCCATAAGTCCTTTTTATTCCCACTCTCACTGCCTCTGCTCCAGGCTCTATAACAGGTCTTTCAGACAAGCCATTCTGTTTATATGTAAATATTCACCTCTCTTTTAACTCTATGCCTAAGTCAGACAACTCTTAGACTTTTACATCAACATTCAAGAGATCTACTACAAGATAGTATTTACTACACATTCAAATACATTTCTCTTTTTCCCAGAATTTTCTTTGAGAGGTGTTTGGTTCAATTGCTTATTTTATATATAATTTTTACTGTTGACTTACATTTTAAGATTGAGAATTGTTTTGTGATTTTTAACGAATGTGCATTTATGTAAACATGCAACTTTAAAGAAAGCATTTGGAATGTAAGTATGTTCAACCCAATATTTATACAGACTATATTCAAGATAATATAGTAACCAATGTAGGGAACAAATGTTTAATACAAATGGAATTAACATGAACTTTACCTTTAGGGATTTTATAATCCACTAGCAGAGATGTGGCATGAAGCTAAATAATTATAATACATGCTGAAATAGGATAATTGCTATAAAAGATGCACAGGAAAAAGCTATCAGGATTGAGGGAGAGTTTGTTTTGACTGAGGGAACCAAAGCTGACTTTATGAAGGAGTCAGTATCTGAACAAGGACTTCAATGGTGTGAATTATTAAATACTTATCCTTTTTACATACCTTATTGAACCTCACCTATATGCAAGACTCTGTACTAAGTTTTAGGGATACAGAAATAAACAAGAGACAGACCTTGACTTCAAGTTGTTCTCTGTCAAGTGAGGAAGAAAGATAAAATGGATTATTACAACAAAGTGAAAGGAAATATAAAGGAGATTGTCTAGAAAAGCTACAAAATTTTAAGGAAACTGATAAATAAGGAGGAGGAAAACGAACTCCTCTTCTAAGGGAATGTCTTTAGGAAGAGGTACTGCTGAGCTGAGTCTAGATTATCAAGCAGCCTGGGCCAAAATGGAGATGGGTCTAGGGAAGAAAGAATCATTACACACTTGAACCAAGACTCAGGGACCTAAAGGTGTGAAGCGTGTACTTCTGTAATACTTCAGAAGAGCTGAAGAAGAGAGGCACAAGAAGTGGGTAGAAAAGCACATCTAGGCTAATTTATTGAAAGGTTGAAGGCCAGACTAACTAAAGATGCTTATTAGGAATAGCTTAATTAGTTATTGCTGACTAACTGATGGTGCTAATATATAGGCAATTTTATATATGGATTCATTTTTACCAGAGAGACCAGACATTCATTTAATTAACTGCATTTCTGATTGAACCACTGTTGTTGGCATAAAGTAACCCAATCATGGGATATTCTGTAGGCTTTTTACTACTATGTGAAACTTCTCAGCGTGCCTTCTTTGGTGATCTGGTCACTTCTCTTTAGTTCACATTTGCAGATAACAGCCATTCTTATTTTTATTTCAAGATGTCTACTATTTAGCACTCAAATGGATTATTATAGAAAATGAAGCAGGAACAATAGCAATTTCTGGACATTTCAGGATCCAATATTCCTCCATTAGCAGCAATCAGAATTTTTAGCCATTACTAATGAATTAGATTGAACTTCAGCTTCTTATTAGGAGCTTTGATAACACAAACTATAATCTACTCCTAAATAACCAATTCTGGAAAACAGATTCCAAAGTGCATGTTTAGTCTCTAGTTTGACCTCTATATATTTGGTCTCATGAAAACAAAATCAATGGCCAGCTCAAGGAAATAAATCTATGAATTGGGTAAAAGAGTAAATAAAAAATCCAAAACTTGTTTTGTTAAGGATATTTTGCTTTGTTCATTAACATTTGGTATCATCACACCTCCAAGGTATTCTTCAAAGGGGCCACATCAAACTACTTTCTCCTGACTATGGAAACCCTATGTCTCCAACTTAGTTATTCCATCATCTTTCCTGAGGCAAGAGAGAAATGTTTAAGCCTATGCATTCAATTATATGATTAGAATAACTAGATGAGAATAAACCTCAAGAAGAAATAAACATTTTAGTCCAGTAAACCTGGGAGGGGGGATAGCTCAGGGAGAGTCTTCTATCACCAAAAGAGGCATGAGGATGCTCGATGCTTGAAGGTGATATAAATTCAGCATCAGGAAGTCAGCGAAGGCTGCCGAAATAAAGATGGGGTGGCACCAAAAATAAGATCCGTATTCCACAGTTTTGCGTAAGTCCTTGTAGCACCAAACAGCTAACTCACCAATAAAAATGTTCTCCCAACTATTTTGGGATGTTCGCAAACGCCTGGCCTGGCAGATCCCAAACACAACGTCCTGTTACTGACTCACTCAAGAGCTCCACCTCCGCTTCCTACGCCCAAAGCCAGCCTCTGCATTCCTGACCTGCTACCTATGTGTCATCAAAGTCATTTTCCCCACTTGAAGGCAACATCTTATTTTTCCTTCTTCAAAATCCCTCCCTTCGCACCACCTTTGTTTCCTGCCATCCACAAACATGAGTCTTCCCCTAGTGCACCACAGGTTCTCTATCTTAAAGGAACCGTTCAATCTTGCTGCTAAGTTTTGGGGTGGGGTCTTTCCCCCCTTTTCAATGAGCCAGCTCCATCCTAGTGGCCTCCAAAACCACAGAAGATATTTTCCTTTAGACCCAGAGGGAAGAATTATTTTTCTACACACTCTAATTTCCTAGTGTATCCCTTTCCTACTCTTATAGTGGTTTAAAAGGAATGTGTCCACATCTAATATCCAATTGACATCTTCTCACTGGATTTTTCTCATATCTGAAGTGTGCTTCTTGAAGCATCCAAGTCACCAAGCACCCTCTACTCTAATTTCCTAGTGTATCCCTTTCCTACTCTTATAGTGGTTTAAAAGGAATGTGTCCACATCTAATATCCAATTGACATCTTCTCACTGGATTTTTCTCATATCTGAAGTGTGCTTCTTGAAGCATCCAAGTCACCAAGCACCCTCTAAGAAGCTCCCAATATCAAACCTTCTCTAAGAGTTGTTCAAAGGGAAGAGATAATATTCCCCCAAATCCACTCCAGCTAAATGTTTTACATTTTCCCACCAGCCAGTTCGCAGTATGATTGTATGATCCTTTTTGTCTTATGAATTATTACCTGTATTTACACTGTGGTGATTTATGAACACAGGATTTGGTTATCTAACAACGTTTTTTTTCCTTAAAGTTTTATATGCCTTGAACAGGAAGGCCTCTGCAGACAGCTTAGGACAAGGGGTATGTGAACAAGTTTGTTTTTCTTATTTCAAAAAGAAAAACCTACCTGCCCGTGCTTTTGCTGAGGGGCCGTCCCATGAGGCATTGCAGGATGCGGCGGGGCCTGGAGGTCTGTGGCCCGGGTTTTGGGACGCACCACATCGGACACCAGGCTGGAGGAGATGGCTAGAGATTTGGGCCGGGTAGCGGTGGTGCCCGTTTCCCCTTGGGAGCCTTGTTCAACTTTTCTGCTTGTAGCTTCATCCTCCCCCTCTGAGTCCACAATGAAGACATATTCAGCTTTGAAGAGGTCACTTTGCTGCATCCCTTGAGGTTTGTTTGTTTTAAATCCCCTTCCTTGTGAAATCTTTCCACCGACCTCTGAAGGATAAATCACTGTCCCTCGGTCTCTCTCCCGTTGGCTCCCAGCATTCAAGGTCAAGTACTCACTGGAATTAGACTGCAATATATGTAGAGACATAAAAGCATTGCCATTGGTTCGATAAATGCACCTTTTTTTTGCATGCATTTTTAAACGTTAAACCTGTTCATAATCTCCAAGGATAAGAGTTTTAAAATATATATATATATATAAATCAGCCTAGTAGAAGAGATTGGATTGGAGTTAAGGGTTTACATTTACTGGCCCACCTGTTTGTCTTGGTCAAAGCCCAAACAATTTAGGGCACAGAATCAAAATCAATAAGTTAACCTGTTTTCAAATAAATCATGATATGATTTTTTTTGAAAGAGCAGACAACAGCAATGTTTTCCATGAAGACATTCATGAAACAAATGGGGATTGTTCAAGGGTTTACTTTCTATATAAGCCAAAGAAGGAAGGAAATCCCATTTTAGACAGTTTCTAAAATAATATGCATCTCCCAAATATCTGAGAGGAAAAATAAAACTGAACAAAACGCATACATATTAAGACAAAACAATCCAAACTAATTGGGAAGAACTCAGTAAGACACCAAAAAAAAAGTTGATATTTTTAGTACAAAGTATCTTTCACTGCTATTTTATATTGGGTTTGTAATTCTAAATCTTTCCCCATCCAGTTTTCTGTGAATATATAGAAGGTTTAAAAGACCAGGGGTAAGCTTTACCAAATTTCCAAAACATGTTTTTTATAAAATTATAGTATCAGTATACACTAAGATTGTGTTTGAAAGACCCAATGCCTCTTGGCTTTGATAACCACACTATGGTTACTATTCTTTTCTTTGCAACTTTCATTTAGGTCTAAAATTCCTTTAAAATTGAAATTTAAAAAATTCACTAAATAAACCAATTTAAATTTCAACTTTGGTGATCAAATTAATGCATACTAATACGTGTGAAAATAGAAGTCAAATAATTGATATGATATTTTTAGTACAAAGTATCTTTCACTGCTATTTTATATTGGGTTTGTAATTCTAAATCTTTCCCCATCCAGTTTTCTGTGAATATATAGAAGGTTTAAAAGACCAGGGGTAAGCTTTACCAAATTTCCAAAACATGTTTTTTATAAAATTATAGTATCAGTATACACTAAGATTGTGTTTGAAAGACCCAATGCCTCTTGGCTTTGATAACCACACTATGGTTACTATTCTTTTCTTTGCAACTTTCATTTAGGTCTAAAATTCCTTTAAAATTGAAATTTAAAAAATTCACTAAATAAACCAATTTAAATTTCAACTTTGGTGATCAAATTAATGCATACTAATACGTGTGAAAATAGAAGTCAAATAATTGATTAAATACAACTAAACTGAGAAGTTCATTTTATATAAACATTCCACATTTTTTAGTTGATGATGATACAGTCAAGATGAAATTCCCATTGCCTCTGGTTAGGATTTCTCTGACAATGGTCATTTCACATATTAAATTATAATACTATAGAGAACAAAAACCCAAATTGGAAAGAAATTTAAATTAAAAATAGAAAGAATCAAAGACAGAGAGACTGTTTTGGAAAGTTATAGAATAACTAAAAACTTGGCAAAAAATTGAACTAGTTTCTAAATCATTATAATGATTATTAATTACTAAATAATTATTAAGGATTATTAACACATAATATATGTAATAATATACTTTGTAATATAGCAATTACTGGTTAATAATTATTAAATATTATTAATGACCTCAAATAATTCCCTTCCTCCCCAGCCCATCATTCTCTATTCCTTTAGTCTGATGTGGGTTTCTTTACAGCACTTATCACTACCTGGGATTGACACTTCTGTCTTTTTTATTGTCTGCCTTCCTAATAATAACTTACGTGAGATGACTCAGAATCCACAGCACCAAGCACATAGTATGTTCAGTAAATAGTTGTTAAATATATAAATAAATAAGAGATAGTATACCCTGTTCTATTATAATATTGAACTGTTTAAAAAATAGGAAAAAAAATCCTAATTCTTTTAAAGAGGTAGTTGTGTGTTTATCATTGCAAACAGCAGGTGAGTATCAACATCTTAGGAAATTTTGGGAATTTGTAACCAAGATTATTGATTCATCTATCTATAGGCTTACATAGTCACCTAATAACAAAGGACCCCATGAATATATTATGTGTAGTTGAACACTGTTAGGGAGAAACTTCCCAGAAATGCCTATTGTGGTCCTCAGGATTTCTCTGAAATAATTTGGCTTCAATAGTCTTTGAAATAAAATTGTAGTATTGAAAATCCCAAAACCATAAACAGTTACTACTCTCTAGTTAAAACATTTTCATACAAAGTGAAAGACTATTTTATACCCTTTCAGTGGCTCAAAAATACCATAAAGCTCCCCCAGTCCCATTTTACTTACAATAAGATACTATTAAAATGCATTTTAAGAGAATATTTTTTTACTCAAAATATCATTTTCTGACAGAAGTCACTTTCAAATTTTTTGTTAATTTCATTTCCAAACTTGGTCTTTTCTTACATAGGTATAATCAGGGTTTAAATATAATTTTATAACCTGTTTTGTCACTTAATATTATAAAGTTAATGTTGTCCATGGAATTATATAATCACTATAATTATAACTTTGTCAAGGTGATGGATTATCATATTCTTAACTTCTGATTGTTAGATATTAAGGTGTTTTTATTTTTCCCTATGTAACAATTTTCTTCATTTACACATTTTCCTTGAAATACATTTCCAAGAGTTAGGTTATTGAAAGGTTGTAAACAGTTTTATCACTGGGAATAAGGTTTTCCACCAAAATCATATAAATTCACAAAACTAGCAGCAGATTGTGAGTATGCCAATATCTTTACAACTGCCTGACACTGGGATTACATTTTTTTAATGTTACTAATTTATTACATGTGAAACAATAACACCTTACTGTTTCATCTTGTATTTTCATTCAAGGTAAATTTAAACTTTTATTTTAATTTTGTTTTTATTATTTTAAGATTCATTTGGGAAAGGTGAGGTGCCAGAAGGTAGAATGTGTCATGTGAATAGCAAATAACAGAATATCAACTCAGAAGTGTTGAGAATAATGTACTAGAGAGAAGCTGGGATTTGGTAACACTTAGGTTCCCATTACATTGCTATATTTTTAGTCAACCTTAGATTTCACAGTCATCTCACCTTAAGCAGAGAAAATAAACATTCATACAAATTTCTAAGCTATTATTATGGACAATTTAATGTTAATTGCTTAATATAGAAAAGAATAAAAGTAATCCTACCCTATTTACAGTTTCTGGATTCTTATCACTTGATTCCTCAGGAATTTTAACAAGGAATTTAGAGGCATCAGCCAACTGAGAATTTACTCAAAATATCATTTTCTGACAGAAGTCACTTTCAAATTTTTTGTTAATTTCATTTCCAAACTTGGTCTTTTCTTACATAGGTATAATCAGGGTTTAAATATAATTTTATAACCTGTTTTGTCACTTAATATTATAAAGTTAATGTTGTCCATGGAATTATATAATCACTATAATTATAACTTTGTCAAGGTGATGGATTATCATATTCTTAACTTCTGATTGTTAGATATTAAGGTGTTTTTATTTTTCCCTATGTAACAATTTTCTTCATTTACACATTTTCCTTGAAATACATTTCCAAGAGTTAGGTTATTGAAAGGTTGTAAACAGTTTTATCACTGGGAATAAGGTTTTCCACCAAAATCATATAAATTCACAAAACTAGCAGCAGATTGTGAGTATGCCAATATCTTTACAACTGCCTGACACTGGGATTACATTTTTTTAATGTTACTAATTTATTACATGTGAAACAATAACACCTTACTGTTTCATCTTGTATTTTCATTCAAGGTAAATTTAAACTTTTATTTTAATTTTGTTTTTATTATTTTAAGATTCATTTGGGAAAGGTGAGGTGCCAGAAGGTAGAATGTGTCATGTGAATAGCAAATAACAGAATATCAACTCAGAAGTGTTGAGAATAATGTACTAGAGAGAAGCTGGGATTTGGTAACACTTAGGTTCCCATTACATTGCTATATTTTTAGTCAACCTTAGATTTCACAGTCATCTCACCTTAAGCAGAGAAAATAAACATTCATACAAATTTCTAAGCTATTATTATGGACAATTTAATGTTAATTGCTTAATATAGAAAAGAATAAAAGTAATCCTACCCTATTTACAGTTTCTGGATTCTTATCACTTGATTCCTCAGGAATTTTAACAAGGAATTTAGAGGCATCAGCCAACTGAGAATGGGTTGGTAGTCTTCTGACAGTGGGGACAAATGTGAAGATCAGAGGTTTGGCTTCAGAATCACCAGAAGAGACCTATGAGACATGTAATAAATTAGATTTTCAGTCTTATTGGAAGTGTATCTTGACTTTCTTTTCTACAAACCATGATATTTATCTCACTTATTTTGATAAATTGCCTATTGCCCTGTGATGGTGTGTGTGGTTGCCAATGACAGCAGCTATAAAAATAGTCATTGTGTATCAGACCCTTTTTTTATGATACCATTTATCAGTGAAAGCAATACAACCCCAGAAAGATCCTGTTGTAAGGGATAGCAATAAAACATAGATTGGCTAGTTGATCTGCTGGAATATTACAGGGCATCTTGACGTCAGTGGACTCATCACAAGCACAGCATCTGGTCTGTTTCAAAACTGGCTCTTATCCATTTAACCCAGGGTTATCAGGTTCAATTTGACTAATAATCACCAAGCATACAAGAAGCTTCCTACAGCCACCATTAATGAGAAAGCTGATATGGATTTAAAACTGAAAGTATGTTTTGCTGGGCATTGGAAAAGCAATGCCTGCTCTTGAGGATATGCCTGCTTTTTCATTCACTCTTCTTTCATTCAAAACACTGTGTTAAGTATTTGCTCTGTGGCAGGCACTCTGAAGCTAGAGATACACAGTAAAAAGGAAATAGTCCATAGATCTCTCACAGGGAGCAAGAGGGTACACACAGAATACTAAGGGAGAAGCGACAAGGGGTACCTGCTACCCAGCCTGGGAAGCTCTGTCAGCAGCAACACCTGAACTCTAAGTTCCAGTGAAGAGGAAAAGAAAGATTCCCCAGGCAGAGGAAACCAGATGAGAGCCAGCCTGGAAAACAGCAGCACTGGTACGTAGATCAAGCTTGGATTTTGTCCCATCGATAACAGAGAACCATTGAAGTATTGCAGATGGGGAAATACCATGGTCCCATTAGAAGTTTAGATAGATAATTCTGGTTTTAAAAGACTCAAGGCTTAGTGACAGGGACAGAAAGCCAAGAGCGACAGATTGAGGATTAAACGGAAAGGGGGAAAGAAAAGATGGTCCTGTAGATTTCTCTTTCAAGAAGTTTGGATGAGAAGCAATATTCTGGCTCTAACTAAACCAAGGTTCCCTCTGAAGGCCTCTGCTTTCTCCAGAGCAGTTTTCTCTCAGTGGTGGCTGTTTCCTGTCACACTGGGACTGGAGGTAGAATAAGTGTCCTCCGTGCTCCTCTTTACTGTTTCCACACCACGGGTCTTCTTTTCTCTTACCTGAAATCTTCCAGCACTGAAACCTCATGTCCTCAGTCTCCGCCACTCACTACAGCACCCCATGCTGCAGTCATCTGCCCACGCCAAGTCACACCCTTATTTCTTGGAAGATGTAGTTCCGGACTCATTTCTACTCTCTTTAACACTGTGCTTTGTATAATACCCAATATTATATCCCATGGGTAATTTTTCTAATACTGTGTTGCCTTGACCTTTTCTTTCCCTTGCCTCTCACATCCCCAGCCTAGACAAACAGTCACAACCTGTCCATAATTTCATTTCATTCTCTGACCACCACGTCTTTGCTTCCCATACCTCTCCCACTAGTACTCCAACTCCGACATTTCTCAGATCCCACCAGAATCAGTCTATTGATCCTTCCAACATTTTATTTTCCATTCTTTCTTTTTGTTTTTTTAACTAACCTCAATGGCCGCATTTCCAGTAATTGCTCCAGTGCATACCTTTCAAATGCTTTGCCCTCTCTCACGTCATCATCCCCATTTGGGTAAATCACAATCCTAACCCCCACCTACTCTACTCCTACACCACACAGGTCCGTGTTTGGGGAAAATCATACAACCATGCTTCATGGTTTTGCTCCGGATTTATGACTGTGTGTCTCAAACAGACCTTTCAAGGCCACTCTGTAACCACACTATACTTCTATAACCCCATCACTTTCTTAGTCCCCTAGAAAACTCACATATTTTCCTCTTTTTTCAAACCCCCAACATCTTCTTTTCTAGTCTTACTCTGAGCTGATGACTTTCTCATTTCACTGAGATAGTTACAGCAATCAGAAAAGAACTTCCAAGGTCCCCATCACCATATCTACTCAGCCACGTTCATCGCTATCCTTTTATGGGAACTTCAGTCCTGTCACTACACTACCACTAAAACCAACCATTACTTGAGCATTTTGCTGTATACTTACTCTCATTTATTCAACATTTCAACAAAGTCTTATTAAATGCCTACTACATGCTAGGCACTGCTCTAGGGGTTGTGATATAACAGTACACAAAGATCTCTACCCCGATGGAATTTATATTCTAGTGGAGGAAGAAGTAAACAAAAATATATATATAACATATTTAGTATTTTGAATAGTTACAGGCTATGAAGACTGACTGTAAGGCTATTGCAATAACCCATGGGAGAGAAAACAGTAGACTGAACTTCCGTTGCTGTAGTAACAGTGATAAAAAGTGTTACACTATGGCTGTATTCTAAGGAAAAAGTAGAATTTGCTTAAAATTAGTTGTGTGATATAAGAAATAGACAAGAGTTAAGACAAGTACAAATTTTTAACCTGAATAACTAAAAGAAATGAGATTTTATTCCCTGAAATGGAGAAAACAACAGGTAAAAGCTGGTCTAAACAAGTAGTGACTCTGTGGCATCTTACCACACTGATGGACAGTGACTTCAAGGGGGTTTGGGGGGAACTCGATAATATTGGTGAATGTAGTAACTACAATGTTTTTCATGCAAAACCTTCATAAGAGTATATACCAATGATACCTTAATTTAAAAAAATAAAAAATTCTGGTCTAAAACAAAGATCAAATTCAATATGCCAAGTATAAATCCAAGTTGAAATGTGAGTATGGAAGTCAAGTTTAGAGGAAAGTCTGTACTAGAGATAAAATTATTAGGGCTGTTCACCCATATACATGGTATTTACAAATGATGAGACTAGGTGATACCAGGAGGGAGTAAACACAAAAAGAAAAAGAGGTCCAAGGTTGAACACTCCAGAACTCTAACACCACATGATCCAGCAGCTGAGGAAGAACTAGTAAAGGTGATATGATGTTTTAAGGGAAATAGAAAAGCTTGAAACATCATTGACAGCAATAGGAGGAGGCCTGACCATAAGCAAAAGGACTGACAGGCTATGCTGAGGGCCCAGCTCAAACGTAAATCCATGCATGTGCAGCGGAACAATTTGCTTGGCTGTTTGATATTCTCCTCAAGTGCCTATCATAGGAAGAGAGAGAGTGAATTACAGCACTTACAGAACTGATGTTTGGAGATAGTTTGGGCAGAAGGATGTTGTGAGTATAAGGAAACCGAGGGTACTGATGAGAAGACATAAAGTGATGAACCGTGGAGCTGAGTTTAGATAGGTAAAGATGAGGGACCCTCAGATGCAAGAACTAAATTATCTCCATGGCCCAGAAAACAGATCTGAGAGCATGGTCAGAGTTTGGGAAGATGTCTTGGGGTTTTAGTATGGTATTTGAGGATTCATGATTTAGAAATATGGTAATTCTAGATAATTATATGGTCTTGCCTCTGGCCTTGAGGCTGAGTATCGAAGATTAAAAAAACAGAAAAGTCACTGAGCTTGTGAAGGTCAAGGAACCATGAGACAAGAGTGTTGACAAGGCCATCCTTGTGAAGATGAAAGCCATGCTTGATGACAGCAAGACTGGGCTGGAGAGAGACTGTTAGCACGGTGAGGCTGGGAACAGGGGGTCCCTGGGACAGGCAAGTACCTGGGGCACTAGATTATCAATTGGATATTTTCTTTGTGAGCATGCAATCAGAGAAATGGATATCCTTGCAGGTTTCACCCAATTTACAGGCCTAACGAACTAACTCAGGACCACTTATCATAGGAAAAAACTGGTAACTAAAAATGAAAACACCCATGCCTTCTAGAAAAAATACATGTTCTTTAGGGGGTGTAAAATACACAGACAAATCCTTCCTAGCCGATTTTCATGTTTTAATATTATTTTCTGCCTTTAAAGATATTCATCACTATTCCCTCATTGTGGTCATGTCACAATTCCCAGGTTTCAGCTTATCACCAGAAAATAATAACGTAATGCTTTCCTTTATAGAAAAGAACATTAGATCCCTTGTGGGATGTGAGAATCCCGCCAGTCTTATCACCAATAAACAACACAACACACTTCCTAGCTACATTATTTTCTAGAAAGTTTTCTTTACATGACTAGCTTTACCACTATAATGATGAATGGAGACTGGTTTTAGCAACAAAACTCACTGAGGGCAGTTCAGATAATTCATCATAGAATTTCATTTATGTAGGAAGTAAAGACAGTCCTCTAGAAGTCAAAGAAGAAGTGAAATTATGACCTTGTCTTCAGGTTTTTTAGGCATGCCCTCATTTCCTCACGTGATGACTATAGGTCTGTATCAGGTTCTATTCAAATGAAATTTAAATACTGATGTATGAAAGGCTTCAGTATAAGCTGCATGGTTCTGAGTAAGTGGCTTTGCCTTCTAAAGCACATACAATGACAAAAATTTACTTCACCTAAGGAGGCTTGTGCAGTTTGTATAATTCAATGCTATGTAAATCTCTAAAATATGCATAGATCTCCACTACTGATCCATCATAAACTATAGACCTTTTAAAAGTTAAGAGCTATAGTTTTGGCAAATAAAATGGAGAGTATCAGTGAAAACTGATGCTTCAATGAATAAGGTGTGCTTTTATAACAATGCCCTCAAAGAAATTCCAAGAACATTAACCACATGTTGACACAGAAGGCCACCAAAAAGAAGTAAAAGTATTTCCCTCTACTTTATTGTTTCATTTTCCTACAGAAACATCCGTATCCTATGTAAAATTTCTTTACCAGTGAAGAACAATTTTTTTATTTTAGTTGAATACATGGTGTTATTCAAGAATAACATAAAAATTAGGAAATCTAATAGGTCTAAAGTATTTATTCATCTTCCTAGGTGACTATTAGAGAACAAGATCAGAGATAAATTCCTGTACAGACATATATCCACAG